ATAACCATTACTCACATATCTCATAACCACTAGTTACATATCTCGTAACCAACACCTTTTTGTCATAACTAATATCACATATCTCATAACCACTAAGACATATAGCATAATCAAACACCTTTTTACACCACTTTGCTCATAACCATTACCCACATATCTCATAACCATTCATAACTATTACCCACATATCTCATAACCACTCATAATTATTACCCACATATCTCATAACCACTCATAATTATTACCCACATATCTCATAACCACTCATAATTATTACCCACATATCTCATAACCACTAACACATATAGTATAACCAAACACCCTTTGACACCACTTTACTCATAACCATTACTCACATATCTCATAACCACTCATAACCATTACCCACATATCTCATAACCACTAACACATGTAGCATAACCAAATACCCTTTGACACCACTTTGCTCATAACCATTACCCACATATCTCATAACCACTAACACATATAGCATAACCAAATAACCTTTGACACCACTTTGCTCATAATCATTACCCACATATCTTATAACTTCTAACACATATAGCATAACCAAATACCCTTTGACACCACTTTGCTCATAACCATTACTCACATATCTCATAACCACTCATAACTATTACCAACATATCTCATAACCACTAACACATATAGCATAACCAAATACCCTTTGACACCACTTTGCTCATAACCATTACCCACATATCTCATAACCACTAACACATATAGCACAACCAAACACCATTTGACACCACTTTGCTCATAACCATTACCCACATATCTCATAACCACTAACACATATAGCACAACCAAATACCCTTTGACACCACTTTGCTCATAACCATTACCCACATATCTCATAACCAACATCACATATATCATAACTACTAATCACATATCTCATAACCAAACACTCTTTGACTTATAACTATACCACTCTGCTCATAACCAAAATCACATATCTCATAATCACTAATCATATATCTCATTACCTTTACCCACATATATTATAACCACATCTCATAACCAACACCATTTGCCTCATAACCAACATCACATATCTCATAACCATTACCCACATATCTAATAACCAACATCACATATCTCATAACCATTACCCACATATCTAATAACCAACATCACATATCTCATAACCATTACCCACATATCTAATAACCAACATCACATATCTCATAACCATTACCCACATATCTAATAACCAACATCACATATCTCATAACCATTACCCACATATCTAATAACCAACATCACATATCTCATAACCATTACCCACATATCTCATAACCAACACCACTTTGATCATAACAAATATCACATATCTCATAACCACATCTCATAACCAACACCATTTGCCTCATAACCAACATTACATATTTCATAACCACATCTCATAACCAACACCATTTTGTTCATAACTAATATCACATATTTCATAACCACATCTCATAACCAACACCATTTTGTTCATAACTAATATCACATATTTCATAACCACATCTCATAACCAACACCATTTTGTTCATAACTAATATCACATATTTCATAACCACATCTCATAACCAACACCATTTTGTTCATAACTAATATCACATATTTCATAACCACATCTCATAACCAACACCATTTTGTTCATAACTAATATCACATATTTCATAACCACATCTCATAACCAACACCATTTTGTTCATAACTAATATCACATATTTCATAACCACATCTCATAACCAACACCATTTTGTTCATAACTAATATCACATATTTCATAACCACATCTCATAACCAACACCATTTTGTTCATAACTAATATCACATATTTCATAACCACATCTCATAACCAACACCATTTTGTTCATAACTAATATCACATATTTCATAACCACATCTCATAACCAACACCATTTTGTTCATAACTAATATCACATATTTCATAACCACATCTCATAACCAACACCATTTTGTTCATAACTAATATCACATATTTCATAACCACATCTCATAACCAACACCATTTTGTTCATAACTAATATCACATATTTCATAACCACATCTCATAACCAACACCATTTTGTTCATAACTAATATCACATATTTCATAACCACATCTCATAACCAACACCATTTTGTTCATAACTAATATCACATATTTCATAACCACATCTCATAACCAACACCATTTTGTTCATAACTAATATCACATATTTCATAACCACATCTCATAACCAACACCATTTTGTTCATAACTAATATCACATATTTCATAACCACATCTCATAACCAACACCATTTTGTTCATAACTAATATAACCAACACTATTTTGTTCATAACTAATATAACCAACACTATTTTGTTCATAACTAATATAACCAACACTATTTTGTTCATAACTAATATAACCAACACTATTTTGTTCATAACTAATATCACATATTTCATAACCACATCTCATAACCAACACCATTTTGTTCATAACTAATATAACCAACACTATTTTGTTCATAACTAATATAACCAACACTATTTTGTTCATAACTAATATAACCAACACTATTTTGTTCATAACTAATATAACCAACACTATTTTGTTCATAACTAATATAACCAACACTATTTTGTTCATAACTAATATAACCAACACTATTTTGTTCATAACTAATATAACCAACACTATTTTGTTCATAACTAATATAACCAACACTATTTTGTTCATAACTAATATCACATATTTCATAACCACATCTCATAACCAACACCATAAATTGATAAAATTATAAATTAATAATTTATTTTATTATAAGACTCTAATTATTTTAATTTTTTTTATCATGATTATTACATAATTCCCCCAAATAATTTCGCCCAAAAGAACAAACATCCAAATTTCCAAATTTTGTGAAAATCAAAATTCCCTCCTCTCATGACAAATCCCTCAGACCCTTTCTTCATCCCAAACGTCTTTAATTTTTTTTATTATGATTATTACATAATTCCCCCAAATAATTTCGCCCAAAAGAACAAACATCCAAATTTCCAAATTTTGTGAAAATCAAAATTCCCTCCTCTCATGACAAATCCCTCAGACCCTTTCTTCATCCCAAACGTCTTTAATTTTTTTTATTATGATTATTACATAATTCCCCCAAATAATTTCGCCCAAAAGAACAAACATCCAAATTTCCAAATTTTGTGAAAATCAAAATTCCCTCCTCTCATGACAAATCCCTCAGACCCTTTCTTCATCCCAAACGTCTTTAATTTTTTTTATTATGATTATTACATAATTCCCCCAAATAATTTCGCCCAAAAGAACAAACATCCAAATTTCCAAATTTTGTGAAAATCAAAATTCCCTCCTCTCATGACAAATCCCTCAGACCCTTTCTTCATCCCAAACGTCTTTAATTTTTTTTATTATGATTATTACATAATTCCCCCAAATAATTTCGCCCAAAAGAACAAACATCCAAATTTCCAAATTTTGTGAAAATCAAAATTCCCTCCTCTCATGACAAATCCCTCAGACCCTTTCTTCATCCCAAACGTCTTTAATTTTTTTTATTATGATTATTACATAATTCCCCCAAATAATTTCGCCCAAAAGAACAAACATCCAAATTTCCAAATTTTGTGAAA